ATTTCCCCAGAGGCCCAGGGAGAAGAGAAAAGATTATGCTTCCAGAAGAAATGATCAGTTTAGATTAATAGGAAATCTATTTTAGCTGCCTACGGAGGACGTGTGCACTGACTTCTCTCGGGGCGATCACTGAAAATCGAGGGCACGTCATCTGCGTGGAGTAGCATGCTATTTTAGGGACACTTTCGAGTCACTGAAGCATTTCATTTGGTCCACTGACACAATTCCTGGATTTCAGAGTCACTGGATAACCCCAAGCTTTGGTAGCACCCTATCTCAAAGTTCTAGACAAAAAAAGATTTTGTAGTAGGCTGTATTCAAAGAGAACAGAAGTGTCCTCCAGCCAGCATCTGGTGGCCATTGTGGGGGGAGGGATAGCAAGGGGCGGGAGAGGGATTCCTCCCGCAAAGACCCTGCTCCCCCCAAGTTTCCCAGCTGTCGTCCCCCTTCCCCTTTGATCCTGCTTCATCCCAGTAAGTCCACTAGGAAACAGGGCCCAGCTTTCATTTGAGGGTACATCCTTGCCTTTAATTTATTGCATGTTGCACGATAAGCATTTTTCAGTGTTGCCACATAGTTTTTCAGAGTTTGTGATTGTGATTGGTAGGGTGACATTCCATAGTGTGGACGTGTTCTGATTGACTCACCCGTGGCCCTGCTGGGGGGCAGCAGAGCTGCACCCCTCCCTCTGTTTATGTGAATAGGGCTGCGATAAACAGCTCCATCTGGTTTGTGAACTTGTGACCAACGTGTTAGGAAATCTTAAGATGTGAGGTACATACAATCAGGGAAATTTATAGCCTTCCAGTTTGATAAGAGTTAGGCTGGTGTAGGTTCAAAATATTAGAGTTGTAAAATCTTTCCCCGTGGGGCCCTTTTGCAGTTGTCTAGTTACCCCTTAACTCTGACTCCATCTTGTCTCTTTAAATTTTATTTATATTTCCCTATGCAAATTGTCCTGGCTTCTGTTTTCCAAGGGCCCTTTTATCTGTATTTTTGTTTCTTTATTTGTTTGCTTGTTTTTAGAGACAGGGACTTGTTCTGTCTCGCAGGCTGCAGTGCAGGGCGTTGTCATAGCTCACCATAGCCGCAAACTCCTGGGCTCAAGTGATCCTCCCATCTCAGCCCCCAAGGAGCTGGGACTACAGGTGTGCTCCACCACACCTGGCTAATTTTTTAAAATTTATCGTAGAGATGGGATCTTGCTATGTTGCCCAGGTTAATCTACAACTCCTGGCCTCAAGCGATCCTTCTACCTCAGCTTCCCATAGTGCTGGGATTATAGGCATGAGCCATTGCACCTGGCCCCTTTTATTTTTTGTATCACCTGCACAGAGAGGCCGTATCCTTTTATTCTAGGCCCTGCGCCTGTGGCCTGGCCTCAGCTGACACTGCCCTCCTCACAGCCTCCCCAGCTCAGCTCCTTCCCGGGATTTGTCTACAAAAGCACTGATGGTACTTCCCCCGACCATCTCCTGAAGAGTCTCCTCCCATCTCAGTCAGAAACTCCACCTAACCTGCCCCGTTTTTTTGCTTAGTTTCTTTCTTCTACTCTGGTCGCTGAGCCCTTCAGACCCCATAGAACTTCTGCCTCTCAGTTTGGGGGCCCTGGGCACTGAACTTCAGTTCAGAATCCTGCCTCTCCCCGCCGCGGACACCCACAGTATCAAGTGCTCCCTGTCCTGGGACTTTGGAATTTGCTCCATTAAATCCAAAGAATCTGCTTGACTAAACTGCCCCTCAGTCTGGGTCCCTTATCAGTCCACAGGGACTCAGAGAGAGTCTCCCCTTCCTGGAAAGAGGGCGGGGGGGGAGTCACAAGGCCCAAGGTCTATCCCTGGTAGACTCCCAAATTGCCGAGTGGCCCAGGGCCAGCCACATCCCCTCTCTGGGTCTTCCTACTCATCTTTGAAATGAGCGTGGTTGGATGAGACGTTCCTGAAGGGCTCCGATGGTCAGCGAGCCCCATGGCAGGCCAGGGCTCCAGCTTGGAGACTCAGGAGGTGGGAAGGTTCCCTCCAGGGCCTCTCAGCCCAGCTCTGTGTCTTTCAAAGAGAAAGACTTCAGCAGTTACCGGGGAAGCTTGGTTAATGCAGAGGCCCTGGGTTCACTGGAGAAATTGTGTCTTTGTGCGGGTTGACCCAGCCACCACTGAATCACAAATCGTTTGTAGTGAATGCGGTCATCCATTGTAAAGACTAAGATCTGGCTATAATTTTCTCTGGATTCATGTTTGTTTCTTCTGTCTTCCACAGGGCGGTCCAGGAGGTTCCAGCACTGGATTTGGAAACTTCGAGGAAATTGGGCCCCTTGACAGAGATCTCAAACCTCGAAGAACCACCTGGGTACAGTGAAGACAGCCCCTAGCTGAACCTGCCCCATGGCCTCTCAGAGGCAGGGCCCCACCCACCCTACCCAACTCTGGGTGGGGCACAGGTGCAGCAATCCAGCCACCGAGCCTTTCCTCTTCCCGGGAATACTGAGCCCCTGGGCTCTTGTCCACAGGCCTCCTCTCCCCCAGCTTCACTGCCTGTTTCTCAGGACAGTTTATTACGCACCGGTCTCTCTTGCCTTCTCCGATTTGATGACCTTTCTCTCCATCGTCCCACACCAGCAGACACCCCAGACCCTGCATGACCCCCCTGTTGGCCATCTCTGCAGTCTCAGATTCCAGGGTCCCACCCTCCAGCCACAACTTCCAACCCTTTTCTCTCCTACCCTCCTACCTTGCATCTTGACTTCATCCCTCATCCCCTCCCCATTTGATGTCTCTGGGTCTTCTCCCACCTCCCCCTCATTCGTAGCATCCCTTCCTTCTCTAACCCCTCCTGGCCAACCGCGTGAACCCCCAGCTCCCTATCCTTCTCCCTTCGCAGCTTCACCAAGCCCGGCCTTGGGTCAGTCCCACTGTCCACTGCTTGGTCCCTACTCCCAAGCTGCCAAACACCGATGGACAGAAACGCATCACCCGCCGGTTGGGCTGTCGCACGTTGTGGGCTTCACCCAGGCTGTGGCTGTCCTTGGCTCTATGCTTCTGCTCTCCCGGTGGCATCTGTTGCTACAAATGTGCTCCACTGTCCTTGGGGCGCCTCCTCCAGCCTCCCTCTCCCATCAGGCGCTAACCTATCTTTGCACACACTGTCCTCTTGGCCCGGAACGTTCCTGTACTTCGTTGCAACTGAAGTGTCAGTTGCTAGAGCAGCACAGAGTGCCCCACTGGCTTGTCCCCAAGCCTCCCAGAACTAAAAGGGCAGTGCGACGGGACATATGTGCATCATATGTCCGGTGACTACTGAACAAGGAGTGGGGAGACCAGGGCCCTAGTCCTGAGGCTGCCGTTACCCATCCAATTTTGTGACCTTGAACACACCCTGGACTCTTTCTG